GGACATAATAAATATTTCCCCTGCAAACAGTGTCGTTCTCACAGGTGCCTACTAGTGAACTTTATGATGTTCTACATCAATAGTTCTTCAGATATTTTCTCACTGTACCATGTGGAATGGGAGGACTACTTAAAAGAATTTCTAGTTCTTTCCTACCCTACTTTTCCTTGGTACAGCCTGCCTTCCTGAGTCCCTTACCCAACTTTTTCCTGGTATACCCCATAGTCTTCCTTCTGGAGGGCCTACCATCTACCTCACTGTCAAACTTTCTCTTTGATGCTAAATGTTCATGCCATCGATAATTTTCTGTGGCTGTAGATCTTCTGTTTATTTGGTAGGCAGTAGATATGGTTCTGCTGGTTGTCTGTACCTAAGCCTGGGTGAAGTTAGCTTTGTAGCATCAGCAATGTACAGTATTGAGCAAAACTTTATGAACTTCATACACATGGGTCTTCAACAACCTTTTGTTAAATGGAGACAGCCTGTAAAGTGGATTTCTGTGCCAGCCTTCACGTGTGGATGTCTCACTCTCAACCAAACATCAATGGAAAATTGCCCCCGTTCTCTCTGGGACGTTTGTTCTCATCTTACTTTTCCTGCTAAGTATGTTACTAGGGCATCTTCCATTGACTCAGTTTTAGCCAACTCCATTTTTCCACTCTGCAGATAATTCTTAAGTGGTTTTGGTGGGAAGTTGGTTGTTGAACTCAGGTGAGGGAGTAGGTGTCCCGCTGTGCTGGGGCTTGGCAAGGGGGTCCAACTGGTCTACTGGGGAACTTCTAGTTTCCATTTCAATTTACAAAGGGACTCCTGTTCCCTTTTCTTTCATCACCCAGCTTTGAGCAACATCTCTTTTCTGTACATCAGGAAACAGGGCTCAATACAGTGAAAGCTGTCAGTGGCCCTTACAAGCTCAATAAGAGGAGGCCTGTAAAGTACAATTAAACTTTTTCTACTTCTTACTGAAGATTTAGGAACTCATTTTATAAAGTATGCACTCTATATCCTATATACTGTAGTGTTCTCAAAGCACCAATAGAGCATTAAAAACACTATCCAATTTACTTCAAGGTAATTATTTTAGCATTATTGCTCACAATTTGTATTATGTTAATATCTTTTAACATTTTGCAGGTAATCAGTAACCTAAGCGTCAGTTTAATTGTAATTACATCCTCTCTGACTTTATCTAAGTTATCTTATCTGATTCATCAGACCTTTTTTACTGTCTATACAGATACCAGAGTAACAATGATAACACAATCACACCAAATCCAACAGCTATTTGTCAACTTATGTAAAACCACAGAAAAATCCTTTAGGGTTTAAGAAAATAAGATTTTTTCACATCTCATTATCTTGACAAGTTAACTTTCCAGAGTACTACACCATACCCTACTAAATGCATAACACTGGGAAGCTTCTCATATACTAATTAACTGGCAAGGTTTAGCAGGTTCCCTATGTGCCTCCAACTTTATAACTGTTAAAAAGCACTTACTAAATCTCACTTAAATATTACATCAAAGTACAGTAATTGATTGTAAATGCTTGTTAATTATCATCATTACTAATTCTAATGCTCAATCAAATGCACAGCACTGATCTAACATAAATTTAATGTAAATTATCTGTAATTATGCACTACGTCTTTTGTAACCAACAATCTCCTTATTATGTAAATTCATTTTTAACAGCTAGTGTACTCTTACCATCTAATTTTTAAAACTCGACCATTTAAATTACTCGTGCTGCACTGTGACACAATGGCTAAATTTATATGCCAGGAGTAGAATTTAGTAGTACAATAAGTTTCTGGATTAGCTTGCCCAAAATGCTTTGCATAATAAATGGCTCTCTTGCAAACAAGCAAGATAAAAGTCTTTGCATTCATTATTTTTTCTTGGCAAAAACACAATGTAGACATATTAAATATTGTCACTGGTTACTTACTGGCATAATCACTAAGCTTGAGGCACTTAAAAAAATGTGTTATCAGTTTTTCAAGCCTTCCATGTAGAATTCTGTCAGCCAATTATGTAACCACTGATGAACTGCAGTCATAACATATTCCAAAAAAAGGCCCTTGCCTAAACAAGATGGGACTTACACACCAGCAAAGAAACGAGTGAAATACTAAAGTCTCAATATGACTGTTCAGCAAGCCCTTAATCAGACTAAAGATCGACAATCCAAATGAATTTTTCATAAACAAGCCTCAAAACCCTGTCAATGTATGAAAAAAAAAAAAAAAACTCCACTGGCCTTTGAAAAGCCGTTAACATTATGTCCATGTACTTTACCTCAGGCCCAGACCCATGCAACTCTGTGTTCATCAAGAACTGCTCAAAACTTCTTTTGCATGCCTTGAGTAGGCTAGATAGAGGAAGCTTGGACAGGACTTTTAGAGCTCTAAAAAGCAGGATTACCAACCGCTTGGATTCCCAACAATTGCACCATGTCTTCTTTTGCAGATGATATTAGAACGTACATCAGTGTGTTGTCCATTGAGGGTATGGTAAATCTCCAAAAGGATATAAACCAAGTTTTCCAATGGGCCACAGAAAACAATATAATGTTCAATGAGGACAAATTTCAGTTACTCTGTTAAGGAAAACTTGAGGAAATAATTGCTAGAACAGAGTACGTATACTACAAATTCTAACCACACAATAGAGCGAAAAAGTATAATGTGAAGGGCTTGGGATTGTTTGTCAGAGGATCAGATTAGATTTTGCCACCGAAGTGGCTAGTTTATTGTGCACCCCATATCCATCCTGTGGCTGATAGCACAAGAGCATATGGATACACAAAAGGCCTAGGAACTAGGCCCCAAAAGGGTTAACAGGTGTACATTTGGATTTATATCTACATATCTACAGTTCACTTATTTGTTACAAGCAAATTTAGGAAATTTACTTAGTATATCTGGTATCTAATTTTCATTAATAAGATATCTTGACATGTCACATAGGTTGTTATACTGTATCTCTATATTCCTCAATAAGTGGACAGTTAAGCACATAGTGTTCAAGAGAGTGACCATATGTCTGACCACATAATTTACATTTAGTTTGATCATCATCTGTGTGTCTCCCAAACTGCCAGAAGTACCTGTAACAAAGCCTAAGCCAGATCACTACAACATCAGTCAGTCTGTTCACATTGCATGTTGCTCCATAAACATACTTATCTACGTTCATGTTATCATAGTGGGTTATAGATCTACTCAGACTTACAACTGCATTCCTATAACAATCATTTTCAATATTTACTTCTCTCCTAATATTATTCCTAATGCTAGATGCAGATATACCAAAGTTATATTCTACATTCTCCTTCTGGGTACTCTTCTTGGCTAACATATCAACTTTATCATGAAGGAGTAATCCAATGTGTGATGGGATCCATAGCAATTGCGCATTAATTCCTCTTTCCCGGATTTTTTAGTAACTATACCTGGCTTCTCCAATGAGTATGTTGTTGGAGTCATTATATGAGTTAAGAGCATTCAGTGATAACATAGAATCAGTAATAATGATAGAGTCAAGCTCAGTGTCATAAGTTAGCTTTAGCGCCATTAGGATTGCAAACAATTCAGTTTGCAATGTAGATGCCCAGTTGTTAATTCTTATGCCTAGTTCAACAAGTTTATTATCGTTCTTAACTAGGGAGGTGGCAACAAGAGCAGATGCAGCCCTGCCAGAAGACTCCTGTTTAGATCCATCAGTGCATATAACTTGTGATAACTTGTTACTACAAGCTAGGCAAGAAATTTCTTCTTGAACAGTTGCTTTACAAGTGTCACTGTCACATCTGCAAGGAAAATGATAGGATGGATAATGAAAACTTACAAAACAAGGGATGCCAAGCCAATAATGATCCTTTTCAAGTCAATCGTTCTTTCTAGGCCTTGAATACTGCTGTACACTGACATCTCCATTCAAGGCAGGTGAAACTGCAGATCTAGAAAATGTACAAAGAAACCTCACTGAACATACAAGTTCAGTCAAGCACCTTAATTATTGGGAACATTTGGAATCTCTTGAACTGCACTCCCTGAAATGTAGGAGAGAGAGATACATCATAATCTACACCTGGAAAACCCTAGAGGGACTATTCCTAAGTCTGAACACAGAAATGACCCCATATGAAAGCAAAAGATTAGGTAGATGATGCAACATACCCCAATGAAAAGTAGGGGCACCATGAGTACACTAAGAGAAAACACAATAAGTGTCTGGGGCCCAGGACTATTCAACAGCCTCCCATCATACATACGGGAAATTACCAATAGACCTTCAGCTGTCTTTAAGAGGGAACTGGACAGATACCTAAAGTTGGTACCCGACCAGCCAGGTTGTGTTCATACGTTGGATTATGTGCAGGCATCAGTAATAGCCTGCTTGCTCAGGTCCTGATCCACTGGGAGGCCTGGTCACACACTGGGCTGCGGGGGCGTTGATCCTGGGAATGACCTCCAGGTAGACTCCAGGCAGGTAGGACACAGAGATGGGCTCTGAGGAGAGGACCAGGGACAACAGCAAGCTACACACACAAGCCACGGAGATGTCAGAAAATATTCCTTCAGTCTCAGGGAGGTTGAAATGTGGAATGTCATAGAGTTTAGGACCCAGACGAAAAGGTATTGGTGGTTCCCTCCTTTCAGAGTTTCAAGAATAAGTAAGTTAGTGCTGGAAGGCCAAAATCCAGCAGTTGTCATTCAAGGCCACGCAAGAGATGAGGTCAAGAGTTAGGTTTCAACTCGAACAAACACAACTATGAGAGTACAGATCTGTGGGGTGTGACAGAGCAAATCTCTCGAGTCTGCCTCACCAGGGTCTTAAGTAAACAATAAATTTTCTCTAGATTAAGGTGAGATTTGTTCCTAATTTCCACCACTAGCAATAAAACACACCAAACAGATTATCTAGCGCTCCAAAAAAGTGTGAGTGTTACACAGGAAACAATAAAAACCGAGGTTAGTGAGAGTTACATACCAGCTGGACTCGTCGATAAACAAACTGAGCCTCGACCAGCTGATTCACCTCACTAATGTGTTCCAATATTTTTTCTGCAATATATTTCTGCAATATTAATGCAATAATCATGCTTTTCATAAGCCCTAGCGGAAAAATTTTACTTGCAAAAGATAAAACAAATATTAAATATATACGCAATGCATATAATAGTCTTCGATAACTGTAGGGTTATTTTCCTAAGTAAAGGTTAAGTTATCGTATTGTAGGTTAATAAATTAAACCAATATAATAAATCACTTTTAAACATATATAACGACTATATAGAAACGTAATTTTTCAAGCAAAAATACTGCTTACTTAGCTTTAGTTATATCTATAAATATGCCTAATCTAAATAAAAAGTCATACATAGGGTTTAAAGCATTACGTCACACGTCATGTGATAAAAAACGTAAAAAAATGGCAGAAAAATATAATACACAAAATTCTTTTAAATCTCAATATAGCTTTTACTAAGTTACATTGTAATGGTGGAGTCACGTAGCAGGATCCTACATAAGAGAAAGTGTTTTACATGATATAGTATACATTTCCACTAATGTATGCCTATAATTATGTGTACTGTACTTATAAATATGAGTCAGCAGTCTATTAAAATTCTATAAAGCAATTTAATTTTAAGAGATTACTTACTTTTTAAATAATTAGTATTCTGATCGATGTACGCAATTAATAATGCACGAATTGTGTATATTTAGCTAGCATTACTATAGTCATATTATTCAACTGGTAACTATTGTGTAAAATAAAGCCTAAATTACATACTCTTTGTGTTTGCTAAGTGTAGACATGTACCAGGTATCACCACACAGAAATCAATGAACTATATTTAGGTATGAAGTCACGTTTAACCTTAAGATAATGTTTCCAGATTGTTACTAATTTAATTTATGAGATTAAAAATTAATATACACTGTCTAATTTAATTTATACTATATATATTTTATATGATAAACTTCGTTAAGAAATATAAATATCAAGTAGTGAAATTCAAATCCGCACTTTCTTTTTTATTAAAAAAAAGAATAACTGCATTTGTATATTACTCAGCCTTTATAGTGTGAGTCAGTACACAGAATATACCTACATATATCTATTTAGCAACGCATTACAAAATAAGACAGCCAGTTGATCGACTGCAGGGTACAGGGTCAATGCACTGCGCCAGCATCTTATAATAAATTCATCTAGCTATGTCTGGTCCCTGCAGTGACCCAGAGTGAGAGAGGAACACCAGGACACCCGGCAATCACTGCCACCCAAATCCCAGCATTTCTCATGATAGAAATCACGGTAGAATTAAGGGTAGATATATTTCTGTTACTGTACAACCGAGAGAAGTATCTCCCGTCTCTAATAACCCCAGTCTCCTAGCAACTACAGTTCATCACTTAAAAGGACTGAGGCAGACGCAGACCCATGAGCTCTACCTCAACACCTCCAAGATTTCAAATAAATGGTTTAGAAAACCGACAAGTTGATAAATATGACTTGTGCAACACTTCTGGGTATTTTTATTCTGGAAACGTCTCGCCAGCCAGTGGCTTCTTCAGTCCAATGCAGAGAAACTGTGGAAGACGAGGAGTGTGAAGTAATCAATCCCTCAGCCTGGAGTCAGTGTGTTCAGATTGAGGAACTGAACACATTAACTCCAGGTTGAGGAACTGATTACTTCACACTCCTCATCTTCCACAGTTTCTCTGCATTGGACTGAAGAAGCCACTGGCTGGAGAGACGTTTCCAGAATAAAAATACCTAAGTGTTGCATAACTGCCTTATTTATCACCTCAAGACTGTGGATGAACACTATAAAGAGACAAAGATGATGCAGCACACTACGTGAGACCCAGAAGCTGTAGCTACTGACCCTCAAGAGGCCCAGGTGCTGTAGCTACTGACCCTCAAGAGGCCCAGGTGCTGTAGCTACTGACCCTCAAGAGGCCCAGGTGCTGTAGCTACTGACCCTCAAGAGGCCCAGGTGCTGTAGCTACTGACCCTCAAGAGGCCCAGGTGCTGTAGCTACTGACCCTCAAGAGGTCCAGATGTTGTAGCTACTGACCCTTAAGAGGTCCAGGTGCTGTAGCTACTGACCCTCAAGAGATTCAGGTTAAGTAGCTGACCCTCAAGAAGGCCAGGTGATGTAGCTAATGACCTCAAGTAGGCCAGGTGATGTAGCTAATGACCTCAAGAAGGCCAGGTGATGTAGCTAATGACCTCAAGAAGGCCAGGTGATGTAGCTAATGACCTCAAGAAGGCCAGTTGATGTAGCTACTGATCTCAAGATGGCCAGGTGATGTAGCTACTGACCTCGAGAGGTGATGTAGCTACTGACCTCGAGAGGTGATGTAGCTACTGACCTCGAGAAGTGATGTAGCTACTGACCTCGAGAGGTGATGTAGCTACTGACCTCGAGAGGTGATGTAGCTACTGACCTCGAGAGGTGATGTAGCTACTGACCTCGAGAGGTGATGTAGCTACTGACCTCGAGAGGTGATGTAGCTACTGACCTCGAGAGGTGATGTAGCTACTGACCTCGAGAGGTGATGTAGCTACTGACCTCGAGAGGTGATGTAGCTACTGACCTCGAGAGGTGATGTAGCTACTGTGCCTCGAGAGGTGATGTAGCTACTGACCTCGAGAGGTGATGTAGCTACTGACCTCGAGAGGTGATGTAGCTACTGACCTCGAGATGTGATGTAGCTACTGACCTCGAGAGGTGATGTAGCTACTGACCTCGAGAGGTGATGTAGCTACTGACCTCGAGAGGTGATGTAGCTACTGACCTCGAGAGGTGATGTAGCTACTGACCTCGAGAGGTGATGTAGCTACTGACATCGAGAGGTGATGTAGCTACTGACCTCGAGAGGTGATGTAGCTACTGACCTCGAGAGGTGATGTAGCTACTGACCTCGAGAGGTGATGTAGCTACTGACCTCGAGAGGTGATGTAGCTACTGACCTCGAGAGGTGATGTAGCTACTGACCTCGAGAGGTGATGTAGCTACTGACCTCGAGAGGTGATGTAGCTACTGGCCTCGAGAGGTGATGTAGCTACTGACCTCGAGAGGTGATGTAGCTACTGACCTCGAGAGGTGATGTAGCTACTGACCTCGAGAGGTGATGTAGCTACTGACCTCGAGAGGTGATGTAGCTACTGACCTCGAGAGGTGATGTAGCTACTGACCTCGAGAGGTGATGTAGCTACTGACATCGAGAGGTGATGTAGCTACTGACCTCGAGAGGTGATGTAGCTACTGACCTCAAGAAGGCCAGGTAATATAACTACTGATCTCAAGAAGGCCAGGTGATGTAGCTTCTGACCTCAAAAGGTCCAGGTGATGTAGCTACTGACCTCAAGAAGGCCAAATGATGTAGCTACTGACCTCAAGAAGGCCAAGTGATGTAGCTACTGACCTCAAGAAGGCCAAGATATAGCTACTGACCTCAAGAAGGCCAGGTGATGTAGCTACTGGCCTCAAGAATGCCAGGTGTTGTAGCTACTGATCCTCAGGAGACCCAGGAGTTTGAGGCCAGCCTCCTCAGACACCACTAAAATTTGAAATCAGTACACAGAGACATTGTGAAGATAGCTTCAAAAGGCTCAGGAGTTTTAATTATCAATCTTATAGAGATCTCCGGAATGGGAATCTTAAGAGATCCCCAGAATGGGAACTTTACTATCAAATTCAGCTAAAATTTTAGAACAATCGGATGAGGCACTGTGAGGATTTTTTCAATAGGCCTAAGAATTGTAACTCAATAATCTCAATATATTCATGACCCTTATGGGTTTAGCATTTAGTTGATTATAATAATAATAACACATTCATGAACCGGATCCCAACCCCGTGACTTCATGAGATATAACTACGACAGCTTCACAGGGTTTAACACTGCATATATTCTGATGAGTATATCTCACTTGTGTGTGTGTACCGAGCATATCAGTGCATGTACGCGTGGCGGGCATATATATCTCAGTATATGAACTCACATTAAGTTGTAATAAACAAATGTTAATGAATAAACAGAAGGGTGGACGAAGGGCTCGAACCACGGTCCGTAAATTAACAGTCCGACGCTCGGGTAGCCGAGACGGTAGAGTCAGATTGTCGATTTATGGACCGCGGTTCGAGCCCTTCATCCACCCTTCTGTACGTAAATAAACCGAAGAATGTCAGTATGTGTATACTACATATACAATTTACTTTAATCTCCATAGGCCCATATGTGTAGTCGATAGGCTAAATACCCAATTAACGAATCAACCAAAAGTTTCAGTAACTACGGCTGCTTCAAATGTTTCAATAACTACGGCTGCTTCAAAGGCTTCAGTAACTACGGCTGCTTCAAAGGTTTCAGTAAGTACGGCTGCTTCAAATGTTTCAGTAACTACGGCTGCTTCAAAGGTTTCAGTAACTACGGCTGCTTCAAAGGTTTCAGTAACTACGGCTGCTTCAAAGGTTTCAGTAACTACGGCTGCTTCAAAGGTTTCAGTAACTGACGGCTGCTTCAAAGGTTTCAGTAACTACGGCTGCTTCAAAGGTTTCAGTAACTACGGCTGCTTCAAAGGTTTCAGTAACTACGGCTGCTTCAAAGGTTTCAGTAACTACGGCTGCTTCAAAGGTTTCAGTAACTGCGGTTGCTTCAAAGGTTTCAGTAACTGCGGCTGCTTCAAAGGTTTCAGTAACTACGGCTGCTTCAAAGGTTTCAGTAACTGCGGCTGCTTCAAAGGTTTCAGTAACTGCGGCTGCTTCAAAGGTTTCAGTAACTACAGCTGCTTCAAAGGTTTCAGTAACTGCGGCTGCTTCAAAGGTTTCAGTAACTGCGGTTGCTTCAAAATTTTCAGTAACTGGGCAACATCAAAGACTTCTGAGGGAGGTTCAGTGGGTTCGATAAGCACAGTAGTGTCGGAAGATTCGGAAGCTACGGCGGATGCAATTAATTAAGGTTTCAGAAGCAGCAGCTGCAAATAATTCAATACCTACGGTAGTATCAAAGATTTCGAAAGGTAGAGGAACTTCAGAGGGCACCAACAAGGCTGGATTTACTTTTACAAGGGTATACCTGGAGGGGGCTCGGGGG